TCAACTGATGTCAGTCTGTGATGGATATAGTGCTAAAATCGTTTGTTAAAAAGTATGTTTTAAGTGAAAATTCACTAGTTAATTGAACTATTAAACACTTAGGTTATTAATCACAGGACTGATTGGTCGATGTTTTAGTTTTATCGCAGTTTTAGGTTGTTCTGGAAGATCTTTCGAAATAAGTCTAAGTGATTGACTGACTGACAAAATCAACATAGAATTTCATACACAAGTCCATCGGCTCAACCTGCCACACTTCAAAGTAGATAAAGTTGTGTCACAGAATATACAATCTGAAGATAAAGATAAATACGAATATTCTAGCTTCAAAGGATGTCAAGGAGTGAATACATCTGCGACATTGTGATTGATTTCCCGCCATTTCATCAAGAGTTCTCTCAATCACTAATTACTATTGTCTAAGGGGCCCCAATCAGGCAGTCTACATCTCCCCTACATGACTCATCGATTGGTGCCACGTCTAAAAATCTAAGTGGGAAGAAAGTTAAACAGTTTTAGACTTTTTCGAACTGGGCAGTTGGATTAAAACAAATAATAAATCGATAATTATTATAATCTAGAATAACTCAACTAACTTTCCCCATCAGTTGTTTACTTCATGTTCACTTCATATAAGTTAAACACCTTCATATGATAACTGTGGGATATAAATGGAACTTCCTTCATATCAGAAGTTTTACACCCTTATATACCTCTTTAGGATAGTTAGATTTCTACTCAAACAGTATACCAATGTCTTTAACCATAACTTCTCTAAAATTAAAGTGTATCTGTTTTCTGACTAATTTCAAAAGTAATTTTTAGTCTTAAAACAAGTTCACATGAAAACACTACACAGGTAATAATGATGGAAAGTGGCTAGCAGCTGGACCCAGGATGTGCGTATCGCCCTTTTTCGGACTTGTCAGCTGCATGCACCTACTTCTTAGTGAGCGATGTTGTTCTAACTAAGGCTTGAGCTCCGGACCGGTTACTTCAAACACCAGAGCGTTATTCAGTAGGCCACCAAGTTATGATATCTACTTTTTGTGCGATGGGTATATTCTTAATGTTGTTACTTGTATTATCCCATCGTCGTTGATTGAACCGAATTCGATCAATGTCTATTTACATATAGGCTCCTGCGTGGATGATCCTTCGATATTACCTGCGTTCCAGTTTTATATTAATGATAAATAGTGGCTAGCAGTGAAATCCAGGACACGTGATTTCTCCTATTTGGGACTCCTCAGCCGGATGTATACAGGTATGTTGAGTCAAAGTATCGAAAGGTTTTTCAAACTTCACAAGAAGAAATAATGAGACCATAAAGTAGTCACTTCTTTATTAATTGTAATTTTTTCATTAGAAATACAGCGAATAGAGCTTTGATTATCAAGACAGAAGACTTACTATAAGGGTGAAAGATGACTAATAGAATTCGATCAGCACTCGGGACTAGATAACATGAAATTGGTTACTCACAAGTGACCAATCAATGTGTCTAATTTAGTCCTACAGAGGGTCGATTACAGCTCGAATACCTCTGTGTGCTAGAGCATTCGGTGATACGAGTTCGAGTCTCTAGATGTTGTAGATACACCTAATGAGTGCCAACAAGCTCGAAACCTAGGTGATGTAAAGTTTTCTCTCAATCGTCTCCAACCAGCCAATATGATTCATTTAATTTGGCCTCAAAAGATGCTAAGATTAAATTAACCTTTACGTTTATTAGCTAATGAATAATGAAAACGTCATTCAATGAAACTAAATGCAGCTAAGCTCAGGCTTTTATCACATTATATATATTATGAATAAAGTTCCTGAGATATTTGTCTACATTTGAAAACAAATAATTTTTCAGATGCTGTAGCTTGTAATTTACCGTTTCTCAATTGACTGAAGTGATCAGCCGCTACCGGCATATCGGGTCATATGGAGATATCTCGATATGGTAGTTATTTTTATTTTGATATTACTGATGGTTAGTGTGTACTTTTGCCCTAGCGAGTGTTGGTATTCTCCTTGAGACTTGAACCTAACGGCCAGTACTTCAAACACCACCAAGTCACGATAACCAGTGATAGCTACATCTAGCTGACAAGCCCCAAATAGGACGAAAAGCTGTTTCTGGATTTCATTGCTAGCCACTGACCATTATTAAAAATAAATGATTTTTTCTGTTATACAAGATAGATGGTCTTGTCAACTTAAATCAGCTTAAAAGCACTAAATAAGATAGTATGAAATCCTTTTTCCATGATAAACAGACTTTCCTATTGAATGTTAATTGAGAAGGCGGTTAATATGAAGCAGTTTCGATCATAAACGTAAGTCAACTGGGTAATCAGAACCATTTCTACTTAGTTTAAAACCTTTCCGGATGGCATACTCATACATAATGTCTCATGAACTCAAACTTAAAATCCTAATTTCGTGTGGTGACCAGTTTACAATTTTTCAAGTTGGTATTCATCATAGACTGACATCAGTTGGAGGAGTATTGAAAACCTGGGAGCACTGGAAAGCTGTTTCGTCCTGGCATGGGACTCCTCAGCGATGGATTCCGACCTAATAGCTCAATGGTAAGGTGCTGGCCACGGAACCTTAAGATCACGGGTACGATCCCTGGTGGGGTCGTAGGTGTGTACTGCTGAGGAGCCCCATACTTACACGAAACAGCTGTCCAGTGCCTCCACGTTTCCAATATTCCTCCAGCTGATTGATGTCAGTGCACGATGAATATCTACTTGAAAAATCTCTAAATCCTTACAAACCTCGAATTCAAGTTACAAAGTTATGACGACTGATGACAGATTTTCCAAATTCATATAACTGATTTTGTGGTTTAACAATTATCCGGAGTCGTAGGTTATTTTTTGTCCTAACTCTCAACTTAACTTCACAATTTACAACTTGGTTGTGTGTTAGGTTGTGCATCTATGCTATATTCACTACTCAAAGAGAGATGAAGCAGCTTCCTGGCATTCTCTGATGCTCTAGTTGTTGTCAGTTTATCATGAAATTAAGACTACTGGGTTTCACAGGTCAATTAATAGAAAAACGAACGAATAGAACGGAGCTCGCTGGTTCTATTACTGTCAGCGCCTAAGTTTTTATTTCACCTTCAACTATCACTATATATTATATAAAAAGTTGTCATTCTATGTTGACTGCAGCCGTGTAGCTTCAAATAATGTACTAAAAACTATTTAATTAACAAAAATAAAAGTGGATGAAGTGTAAGACTTTGATGAACACAGGCATGAGACGATTCCTTTTATCTACAACTGAACATAGTATTAAAACAGGTCATAAAATTTATATTCAGACAGCTTTCAAAGCGTTATCTAGAAGTAATCAGGGACACATACTTAAGTAATTGCCATACACAAATAGAAACTACCTTTGTTTATACAAAAACAGTTTGTTCTTACACTACACTTATCTTGATAAACTTTGTATTCTAACCAAGATTAAAATCAACTGCTATTGTACTGTTTTGTTTTCATCTTTCTTAATTTTAATTCCCTATTATCATACTTATTGTATTGGTACTCCCATTCTTCTGTGTTATAATACATTAACTTGACAAGTAAAGGTGTGATCAGATTGTTCGAAATGTTTTATTCAAATACATCATATACATGGTTCAGATCGTCATCTTATTATTTATTATTATTAGTCCCTTGGGTTCCTAATGGAACATAGGGATTCAGTAGCACGTCTTCAGTGACCTCTGTTCTCTGAGATCTTTTGAACCTGGTCCCACGACAGCCCACAACCTCTCATTTCCTCCTCGCACGATCTCCTCCATGTCACCCTCACCTCGGAAGTCCAACTCGTCGCTTCCCATGGGGATTCCACTCGAGGGCCTGGCCTGACGCGTGATGTCCCCAGTCGGCCTTCTCAGTGCATGCCCAATCCATCTCCATTTCCTTCTGCATATTTATTGCGTGATAGGTTCTTGGTTGGTTCGTTCCCAGAGTTCCTTGTTGCTTATTCTTTCTGGCCATCTGATCTTTAGTAACGAGGCAGCGTAAGCAGTTGTTGATGAATGTGTGTAGTTTATTGGAAATCCCTTTCGTAACGTGCCAAGTTTCTGAACCATACAGAAGCACTGACTTGACGTTGGTGTTGAAAATCCGGATCTTGTTCCACATGCTGAGTGGAGTGCATAAGATCTCCACACTGGTTTCAGGCTAATGAACTACTGTCTTGCTTTCCCGATCCCGGCTGACTTTGACATCCTGGTCTGTGCCGCCTGTAGTTGAAACAGTGCTTCCTAGATAGGTGAAAGAGGTTACTTCCTTTAAGTTTCTCCCGTTGATGGTGACTAGAGTTTGTTGTTGTTGTTGGAGTTGTTGGTGCAGTATCTTCATCACCTGTCTTCTCTATATTCACTTGAAGTCCAGTCTTCGTTGCCTCATCTCTTCTGTCAACTTTTTAGTTTTCGCCTGTAGATCCTCAAGTTTATGTGACATCAGGCACAAGTCATCGGCAAAATCCAAGTCTTCTAGGTTCTTTTCCGCAGTCCAGTGTATCCCCCTCTTCGTCATCTTATTACACTGTCTAAATTTATAATAGGGATTTACTGTTTTAATAAAGTCGATTAGAAAGTTGGCATAGATTGAGTGAATTTATTCAAGCAAATTTAAGACATTAACTCTTTATAATAATGATAGATAGGGGCTATAATTAAAACATAGATAATATCGAAGCATTTGTATATGAGCCCATATGTTAATAGAGACCGATCAATTCGGTCTAATCAACGACAGTATAATACAGACAATAATACTACTTAACTCTTTATATATACACATTTTTCATAGGATGAAATAAAAATTTTCATTTATGAACTTGGAAAGTTGTTACAGGAAAAAGGACACGTTAGTTATACTTGGGTGTTTTACGCCTCTATTACTTTGATATATTACCAGCTGAAAATGTTAAGAAATTTACACTAAAATGTTAAATTTATTCAACTTCTCTTTCAGATTAATCATCAAATCATCGTGTAAAAAGTTAGAAATGGTAAAACAAACAATTCAGATTTATTTACGTCTTCGACCGTCAAATTATCAAAAACATATCTCTGTAAGTTTAAAATAAACCAGAATTTATATAGGTATACTTTTCTTTCTAATCAGAAATATAGTTTAGATGTTAGTGGTCATTATCAACATGAACAAGAGAAACAGCCAAAACTGAAGCCTAAAAAGTCTAAAATCATTTTTGAATGTGCTCGTGATACCCAACAAGATGGAGTAATATGTAATAGAAAAGAATTTCATAACTTTCAATTCGATACCATTTTTGATACAATAACTGGTCAAGATCAAGTGTTCAATGCTGTCGCCAAACCTGTAATAGAAAAGTAAGTATTATACGGTCGTTGATTGGACCGAATTCATCAGTTTCTATTAGCATATGGGCTCCTGTGTGGATGCCTCGATGGTACCTATGTTTTAATTATAGTAATGATGAATGGTGGCTACCAGTGGAATCCAGGGCGTGCGATTTTTCCTATTTGGAACTCATAAGCACGATGTACCTGCCTCCTAATGAGTAGTGTTTTTCCCACCGAGATTTGGACTAGGGAGCGATCGCTTCAAACACCAGAGTGTTGTCCACTACACCACCGAGTCATGATAGCCACTTCTTGTGTGACGGGTACAGTTTTAGTGTTATTGCTTGTACTATACTGTCGTTGATTTGACCGAATTGATCGGTCTCTATTGACATATGGGCTCGTATGCAGATGCCTCGATATTACCTGTGTTCTAATTACAAACAATTATACTAATACCATGCCCGTCTCACAAGAAGTAGCTATTTTATCATTGTTTGTTTATCGCTTGAAATTCATCAGGGATAGGTTAATTAGTTAGTAGTACTTTGAGGAGAATACAATAAAGATTAATAGGTTATGCTGTAGTTGTTCAAAGTCAGATAATTCAATTAGAAGACAAAGTTTATCTGAACAGTGCATCTTGCATTTGGGCAATATACATTTCGAACAATCTGACCACACCTCTACTTGTCATATCAATTTATGTTAAATCGAAGAATATGAGGACTAATGCAACAATTAAGAAAGATGAGAACAAAAAGGAAAGGTGATATAGTTGATTGTAATCTTGATAAAAATACAAAGTTTACAAATCGTTTTTGTACACACAAAGGTAGTTTCCATTTGCGTATGGCTATTGCTTCAGCATGCATCCCTAACTATTTCTGGATGAAACTTTGAAGGCTATTAGAACATATGTTTAGGTGTAGATAGAAGGAGTCGTCTCCTCCCTCCGTTTATCAAGCTTTACGTTTCATCTGTTTTGAAGTCATTTAGATACATGTTCTCCAACAGTCAAATGTTTGGTGTGATTACTCCTCTATGTGTGTGTGTGTGACCAAACATACATGTAAACTGAAAAACACTGTGGGATGTGACACAATGTTGAGGTTGAGGGTGACAGGTGTCTTTTACCTTTTCGATAACGATAAGCTTCGCTACATAATATATTTTACTAATGACATGATAGCCTATAACCTTGCCTGCTTAACAAGTTCACTGGTTACTACCCGCTTTGTAGCCCAGGTAAACAGACAAGGTTGAGTGTAGGACTAGCAACTACACCCCGTTAAAACAATCGGATCCCTAAAAAAATTTCAAAGCACAAAGAAAGTATAAAAAAATAAAAACAAACTCATTCCTCACTGGAATCAGAGAGACGAAATCACGCCTAGTGGCCAAACACTTCCAAAAGCAAGTTCGCTCTTGTGTCTCATCTCGATGAAAGCGAAAGTAAGGATAGGGACATGGAATGTTCACATCACGTTTGAAACTGACTGGCAAGGCTACCCAGATTACAAAAGAGATGAGAAGGTATGGCATAGTGCAACCAATCTGCAAGGAATCTGCACATGGAATGAAAGTGGATTCTACAAACTGTCAAATGACGAGTCAGTAATCCATTCCGACATTGTCACACAGTCGACAACCACCAGCACAGCACACTGAGTTCTCCAGTGGCTATCATGATGTCTCCAACACCATCGAAGCATGTCTCTCATTCAGTGAGAACCAATCTCCTCCTCCACGATCACGATCATGACAGCAATGTTCAACTCACAAGGAATGAAGCGAGGTCACAATCATACAATACAACACTACGCGCCTACAAATAATGCAGATGAAGAGAAGAAGGAGGAATTTTACAGACAACTGGAATCAGTAACAGGCAAGACCTCGTCCCACATAGCGATATCAGAACTCTGATGGTTGGGGTGACATGAATGCTGAACTGTGAGCGGAAAACACAGGAAGAGAGCTGATCATGGGTCGAGAAGCACTCAGTGAAATGATGAAAGAGAATAGAGAATTGTTTGCAGATTTCTTCACATTTAACGATTTGGTGATTGGAGGCGAGGCAGTGTGTACAAACACAAGGATATCCATAAAGCAAGCGACATGGATTTGATTTCACCAGACACCAGGACACACTACACTAAAAATCGGATCGACTTCATCCGAATGTGAAGAAAGTGGAGACGCAGCCTACTGGAGACAAGATTAGATGAAGCAAGGCAGCAGATGTAGGTTCACACCACTCACTATCTAGTGGAAGGAACCTACCTTCAGCATAAAGTTGAATGCCTTGAAAGAAGTTGGTGATAGACGACCAGAATTGAAGTTGAACACTGAGAACAGAAAGTGAGCTGAAGGACGAAACTACAAAGGACATTTTCACGTCAGTCAGTCATCAGTAACATATGGGAGACTATGAGCAACATCCTTGAAGAAGCCTGTGTGGATAACATTGGAACTCTTTGAAAGGAATGTGGAAAGAAACCTGCATAACCGTGTTAGGAAGGAGGAAGAAGCAAGACACAACAAGGAATCAATCTCGACGGACACATGGAAGCCAATAAAGCATGAAGAGGAAGACAGTGAAGAAGAAGAAGATGAACTAGTGCAGTGGAGTGCAGGGATGAACAACGAAAAGAGGAAGTGAGTACAACCTATAAAACACTACACTGGACAAATAAGTGAAGAAGCGTGCGTGCAAAGACAAAAGACACTTCTACGACACACTGCCAAGTGAAGCAGAACAGGCTGTTGGTAGGAGAGACAGAGACCTGACAACACTGTCAGGTTATTATGTGGGAGGGAAGAGATCAACGCAGACGAAACCAATGAAAGATAGCGAAGTAGACTCAGTTAGCAAAGAGGAGAAATAAAGGAAACAATGGGCTAACCACTTCAAAACACTCCTGAATCGACCAACACCACCAATACCACCACCACAACCACCATCAACACATGAAACTCATCCAGAAATACCACCATCACACCAGCCACAGAATTAACAGTGAACACAGGCCCTCCGACAATCACAGAAGTGAGGTCGTCAACGCCATTAATTTGCTGGAATCTGCGAAAGCAGGAGGACCAGATGGAATTCCACCAGAATCACTGAGATAACAGTGGACATGCTGACATCACTATTGCACAAGTCTCGGAGGGAGGGAAGGAAAGGTACCTGCAAACTGATTGAAAATAATACTGTATCACTGTGCGCTTTATATCAAATAAACAAATCTAATATGGAACTACATTCTACCACAGTGCCCAAGTTTTTCACTTATATGATTGAAAGAAAGTCTACCTTGTCTAACTCCCAAATAAGTGCGAACCAGGTCTTTGCAAGAACTGACACGCAATCATGCTATTATTGTCCACTCGAAGCAAGCAAAATATTGAACCGCATCATCCTGGAGAGATTAAAGGATGCGCTGCATTCAACATTACAATGGGAACAGGCTGGTTGGCATCAGGAAGAACAAATCATGTGCAGATCACATTGCGACCCTACTCTACGCGTCGTCATAGAACAGAGTATAGAATGCCAGTCAACTGAACTCAACCTCAACTTCATCGACGTTGAAAAGGATTTCGACAGTGTCGACCGACAAGTGATTCGGAAGGTAGCAGCTTCAACACTACGGTTTCAGTGCCACAAATATTCACCAATCTCATTCAATAGCTATATAAAGACGCCACATGCCAAGTGATTCACAATGGAAAGCTGAGCTCAGTGATGCCTTTGAATGAAGACAGGTTAACAGGTAAGACAAGGCTGCCTACTATCACCCATCATCTTCCTCATTGTGGTCCCCTGGATCATACAGCAAACCGTGAGGAGCGAGAAGATGGGCATACGCTGACTGGACCGATGAAAAGACCCCAGAAGAAGATTTGGATTTTGCTGATGATTTGTGTCTGATGTCGCACAAACTCGAAGATCTGTAGGCAAAAACAAACAAGTTGACAGCAGAAGTGTGGGAGTGAAGACGGAACCTCCTTCTGGTGAACAGAGAGAAGACGGATGTGATGGAGATACTCAACCAACAGCAACAACAACAACAACAAGAACAATAACAAGCACCAATCACCATCAACAGGAGAAACCTGTTAAGGAAATTGTCTCTTTCACCCACCTACCTAGACAGTATCGTTTCAACTACAGGAGGCGGGACCGATGAGGATGTCAAAGTGATGATCAGAAAGACAACCAGAGAGACTTTCACCACTCTGAAATCAGTGTGAAGATGTACTGCAGTGCACTGCACTGTATTGCGCTTCACTCAGTATAAAGCGTGAACAACATCCGGATTTTTAACACTAATGTCAGTTAAGTAAGTCAGCGCTTCTATGTGATGATTGAGAGACTTGGAGCCTTACGAAAAGCAAAGCATTTGCAACAAACTACAGACGTACATCGCATCAACAGCTGTCATGTGGGCTTACTCGATACTGAAGATCAGATGAGATGTGGAGAATAATAAGAATGAGAATAAGCAAGAAGAAACTCTGGCTGGCTATCAACGAACCAACTAAGAACCCATCACCCAACAGATATACAGAATAATAAAGTGGAAATGCATTGGACTGGACATACACTGGGAAGACCATTCGAGTACATCACACGCCAGGCCAGGCCCTCGAACGGAGTCCAAAGGGGGTAACAACGATTTGAATGTCCGAGGGCAACATGAAGGAGATCATTTGACGAAGAAAGGAGAGATTTTGGGAAGTCATGGAGCCAGGTTGAAAAGACTGCAGAGAAGACAGTGAAATGGCGACATGCTGCTGAAGCCTTACATTCCACTAGCAACCCGTAGAGAAAAATAATAATAATACTTTTCTGAAACGTTGCAACTGCACTCATACGTTAAATAACAGAATTCTGAATGCATCTACATCCATTTTATTCTTTTCTTTTCCATAGAATCTCAGTTACTTTGTTATTTTGTCCATTGTTTCAAAAAAAGTAATTCTTTCAACGGTCATTATTTAGTTGAATAAATCTCACTGTATAGTTCCATTTAGGCTCCGAATATGGTCCAGAAATTCACAAACTTTCTTAAAATTATGCGCTTAAATACCTAAGATAAATCTATACTACTAATTATATCTTTTTATCGTCCAAAATATCAGTGAATTTAAAGAGGATAATCTATTATACTACTTCTCTTTGACTTTTCTCATTAATGATGTGCTTCAGGTTGTTGTGAGAAGTGTTTAATGTTGTATATTTACAACCAGAAGGCATCTTTTCAATTTTCAGATTACAGATAATATTTTATTATTGCACAATGATATACAGTTTAGTTTAATCATATTTACTTCTTTGGTGATTAACATCTATGGTTTGGAGTATGTTTTGTCCTGAAGAATCACAAAGTATTTTTGTGAAGTTGACAGGAATCTATACCTCTGCTTATTCATGATTTTTTTCCCTACAAAACGCTTGAAGGTTATATACCTCATGGTAGTTTGCAGTGTTGATGAAGGTGGAGCAGACAAAACTTACTTCTATCAAGTGGATATCATACAAGCATTTCTATTTTTGATTAACTTCGGCTTTTTGTTACTCTTTTCAGTCAGTGAATAGCTAATTTTATGATAAATTATTATTATTTGTCCTTTGAGTTCCTAGTGGAACATAGGCCTTCAGTTGTACGTCAGTATTTCACTCTCTTCTCTGCACTCTTCTTTTTTAACCTGTCACCACGACTGCCAACAACCTTTCATTTCTTCCTCACATGATCTCCTCCATGTCACCCACGGCTCGGATGCGCAACTGATGGTTATCCCTTTGGATTCCATTTGAGGGCCTGTCCTGTCCTGGCCTGGCGTGTGATGTCCTCAGTCGGCCTTCTCAGTGTATGCCCAGTTATCTTATAACAATCATCTTTCATGTATTGCATCTTGATCCTGATACGTGTACACACGGTGAATTTACAACATGGTTTCTTAAACAATAAGTGTATTTGATTACTCTCTATTAGTTCATTCTAACTCCTTGGGTAAGGTTCCGCTGAACAGCTTAATCATTTGCCTTAGAATTTAGCAATATAACTCGGAATTAAAGTAAATAGTTTCTATACCAAAGATTTCATGGTTCCTTTATCTCTAAGTAGCAAAGTGAAAAGTGATTATGGTTTGATATTTCCTTGAGTAACAACTTTCGCCTTCCTAATCAGCATCATTATCTTTCATTATGCCTCCTTTTATGTATTTTTATTCTTAGTACACTACTATATGCCGCACAGTATCTGACTCTTGTGTCTCATAGTATTCATAATAATAATGATAATAATAAACATCAACGATAGATAGTGTCTAGCAGCGGGATCCAGAACCCATGTTTCGTCTTCTTTGGGACTCTTCAGTTAGATATATCTACCTCTCAGTGAGCAATGTCGTTCTCGCTAAGACTCGAACTCCCGACCGATCGATTAAAACATCAGAGCGTTATTCATTAGGCCATCAAGTCATAGCAGCCACTTCTTATGTGATGGGTACAGTTGTTATGTTGTTACTTGTATGCTATGATATGTTAGTTATATTGAGGAATCTGCGCAAGAGCCCATATGCCAATAGAGGCCGATGAGTTTTATCCGATCAAGGACAGAATAATGCAAGTAACAATATAATAATAATAAAGCCGATCAAATTACGGAATTATAATATTGCTATCCATTGAAGACTACTTTCTTTTAGTGTACACTAAAATAAATAAAAACTGGTACATTGCGATTCAACTTCCTGATTCTAATGATACTTTGCACATGCTATAGATCATACTAACTAAAGACAGTCATATTCTGTCATTTTAATTCGATAATCATTTTACCCTACTCTTTTTGAAAGGACTCTTTTAGGTTATAATGGAACTATATTTGCATATGGTCAAACTGGTAGTGGGAAAACGTATACAATCACTGGAGGTACAGAGAAATACTCAGAAAGAGGTATTATACCTAGAACTATTGCATATCTGTTTGATCATTTTGAGAAGGTGAGTTACAAACTTTTGCTTTGGATTTTCTATAGACCAACTTATTGAACAACTTATTCAGTATAAAAGAGGCTTAGTTAAATGTCTCACTAGAAGAGTCAGAAAGAATTATTTTAATGGCCTGATCTTGAATACAATTTTTAAATATTTTGGTGGAAATGAGTAAACTTCATGAGCCCTTAGTTCGTTCTCCAGCAGGGTCATGGGTGCCCAATGTTGAGGAGTCCTATACTAGGCCGAAACAGCTATCCAGTGCTCCTACAACAGGTTTCAACTCATTATGAATACCACTTCGAAATGTAAAGAAGTACATGTACTAAATGAGTGAGTGATCTGAATAAGTGACTGCTCGAAAGAAATCATTATTCACGAAGCCTTAATATAATGAAAATGCAGGTAGTGAAATTCTATCTGATGGGCTGTCAGAGGTCATCAGTAGGATCTTCTAGGCTGCTAACCTTTGCTGATCATTTTCTACTCAACCGATCATTGTCACTCAGACAAAAGACAAGCCGTTCAGTTTTTTTACTTCTTTGTGTATTTATAAATTCATCTGGTTATGTAGAGAAAGCTTTATCAAGCATTATCCCTAGGCAGCTAAATAAACGTGTTGCTCAACATCTACCGTCATGGCTAGGGAAAGGGATAAGAGAATGTCTGTCCAAAGTTTTAATTCTGTCGATCTGGTCGATAATAGTCACATAATAGACAAAGCCAAGACTTTCAAAGTCATTTATTGCATTCCATAAAATCTTTCAAATGGAATTCATACTAACCTATTGCATATTACTGAGGCTGCAGGGATTACAGTAACAGTTCTCGTTTTTGTATACCAAAAAAGTCTATACAATCCTTATCCTGTTCAAAGAAAACATGTTTGTCAAAGCTTTGATCATCTACGCACTTCATTCTTTAGTATTATGAAACTTTTGACCTACAATGACTGTTCAAATGCCAGTAGTATTATGTTATTCTGAATATAATTATCGGTAGGATAAACACTAAATCTACTGACATTGGAGAATGGTTGAAAGTGAAATGAAAACCTTGGCCGCAAACGGATTCGAACAGGTGGCTTCTGGGTTATCTGTTCGATGCTCTACCAACTCAAATGCTGGTCAGCTCAGTCACCCATATGAATCCAAATGAAATTTAGTCGCGGTCACAAGCTTAATCTCTTACCTCTTTTGGTAGAGCACCGGGCCGGTAACCCAGAGGCCGCGGGACTGTATCCTGCCACAACATAGATCTCCATTTCGCATCCAATCATCAGAAAATGTCGATAATACAAGTCTGTCACCTACAACCATCTCAGACGGTTACAATTATAACAAAAATTATTATTATTATCATTATCTTGTTAGTTACAATTAGCATATTTCACTAGTCACAGACGGTAGGAGTCACCACGATCGATTTAATGTTTTGTATATAAGTAAAATATGTAAATTAGAGTCAATTATTATCATTATTTGTCCCTTGGGTTCCTAGTGGAACATAGGCCTTCAGTTGTACGTCAGTATTTCACTCTCTTCTCTGCACTCTTCTTTTTTAACCTGTCTCCACGACTGCCAACAACCTTTCATTTCTTCCTCACATGATCTCCTCCATGTCACCCACGGCTCGGATGCGCAACTGATGGTTATCCCTTTGGATTCCATTTGAGGGCCTGTCCTGTCCTGGCCTGGCGTGTGATGTCCTCAGTCGGCCTTCTCAGTGTATGCCCAGTCTAATCCATCTCCACTTTCTTCTGTTGCATATTTCTTGGGTGATAGGTTCTTGGTTGGTTCGTCCCAGAGATCCTTATTGCTTATACTTATTATTCTGGTCATCTGATCTCCATCTTCAGTATCGAGTGAGTGTAGGCGGCAGCTGCAGGTAAATGTGTGTAGTTTGCTGGAAGTGCGTTCCATTACACTCCAAGTTTCTCAACCACCACATATAAGCGCTGACTTACTTAACTGACATTAGTGTTAAAAATCCGGATGTTGTTCACGCTTTATACTGAGTGAAGCGCAATACAGTGCAGTGCACTGCAGTACATCTTCACACTGATTTCAGAGTGGTGAAAGTCTCTCTGGTTGTCTTTCTGATCATCACTTTGACATCCTCATCGGTCCCGCCTCCTGTAGTTGAAACGATACTGTCTAGGTAGGTGGGTGAAAGAGACAATTTCCTTAACAGGTTTCTCCTGTTGATGGTGATTGGTGCTTGTTATTGTTCTTGTTGTTGTTGTTGTTGCTGTTGGTTGAGTATCTCCATCACATCCGTCTTCTCTCTGTTCACCAGAAGGAGGTTCCGTCTTCACTCCCACACTTCTGCTGTCAACTTGTTTGTTTTTGCCTACAGATCTTCGAGTTTGTGCGACATCAGACACAAATCATCAGCAAAATCCAAATCTTCTTCTGGGGTCTTTTCATCGGTCCAGTCAGCGTATGCCCATCTTCTCGCTCCTCACGGTTTGCTGTATGATCCAGGGGACCACAATGAGGAAGATGATGGGTGATAGTAGGCAGCCTTGTCTTACCTGTTAACCTGTCTTCATTCAAAGGCATCACTGAGCTCAGCTTTCCATTGTGAATCACTTGGCATGTGGCGTCTTTATATAGCTATTGAATGAGATTGGTGAATATTTGTGGCACTGAAACCGTAGTGTTGAAGCTGCTACCTTCCGAATCACTTGTCGGTCGACACTGTCGAAATCCTTTTCAACGTCGATGAAGTTGAGGTTGAGTTCAGTTGACTGGCATTCTATACTCTGTTCCATGATGGTGCGTAGCGTAGGGTTGTAATGTGATCTGCACATGATTTGTTCTTCCTGATGCCAACCAGCCTGTTCCCATTGTAATGTTGAATGCAGCGCATCCTTTAGTCTCTCCAGGATGATGCGGTTCAATATTTTGCTTGCTTCGAGTGGACAATAATAGCATGATTCCGTGTCAGTTCTTGCAAAGACCTGGTTCACACTTATTTGGGAGTTAGACAAGGTAGACTTTCTTTCAATCAGTTTGCAGGTACCTTTCCTTCCCTCCCTCCGAGACTTGTGCAATAGTGATGGCAGCATGTGATTCTGGTGGAATTCCATCTGGTCCTCCTGCTTTCGCGGATTCCAGCAACTTCATGGCGTTGACGACCTCACTTCTGTGATTGTCGGAGGGCCTGTGTTCACTGTTAATTCTGTGGCTGGTGTGATGGTGGTATTTCTGGATGAGTTTCATGTGTTGATGGTGGTTGTGGTGGTGGTATTGGTGGTGTTGGTCGATTCAGGAGTGTTTTGAAGTGGTTAGCCCATTGTTTCCTTTATTTCTCCTCTTTGCTAACTGAGTCTACTTCGCTATCTTTCATTGGTTTCGTCTGCGTTGATCTCTTCCCTCCCACATAATAACCTGACAGTGTTGTCAGGTCTCTGTCTCTCCTACCAACAGCCTGTTCTGCTTCACTTGGCAGTGTGTCGTAGAAGTGTCTTTTGTCTTTGCACGCACGCTTCTTCACTTATTTGTCCAGTGTAGTGTTTTATAGGTTGTACTCACTTCCTCTTTTCGTTGTTCATCCCTGCACTCCACTGCACTAGTTCATCTTCTTCTTCTTCACTGTCTTCCTCTTCATGCTTTATTGGCTTCCATGTGTCCGTCGAGATTGATTCCTTGTTGTGTCTTGCTTCTTCCTCCTTCCTAACACGGTTATGCAGGTTTCTTTCCACATTCCTTTCAAAGAGTTCCAATGTTATCCACACAGGCTTCTTCAAGGATGTTGCTCATAGTCTCCCATATGTTACTGATGACTGACTGACGTGAAAATGTCCTTTGTAGTTTCGTCCTTCAGCTCACTTTCTGTTCTCAGTGTTCAACTTCAATTCTGGTCGTCTATCACCAACTTCTTTCAAGGCATTCAACTTTATGCTGAAGGTAGGTTCCTTCCACTAGATAGTGAGTGGTGTGAACCTACATCTGCTGCCTTGCTTCATCTAATCTTGTCTCCAGTAGGCTGCGTCTCCACTTTCTTCACATTCGGATGAAGTCGATCCGATTTTTAGTGTAGTGTGTCCTGGTGTCTGGTGAAATCAAATCCATGTCGCTTGCTTTATGGATATCCTTGTGTTTGTACACACTGCCTCGCCTCCAATCACCAAATCGTTAAATGTGAAGAAATCTGCAAACAATTCTCTATTCTCTTTCATCATTTCACTGAGTGCTTCTCGACCCATGATCAGCTCTCTTCCTGTGTTTTCCGCTCACAGTTCAGCATTCATGTCACCCCAACCATCAGAGTTCTGATATCGCTATGTGGGACGAGGTCTTGCCTGTTACTGATTCCAGTTGTCTGTAAAATTCCTCCTTCTTCTCTTCATCTGCATTATTTGTAGGCGCGTAGTGTTGTATTGTATGATTGTGACCTCGCTTCATTCCTTGTGAGTTGAACATTGCTGTCATGATCGTGATCGTGGAGGAGGAGATTGGTTCTCACTGAATGAGAGACATGCTTCGATGGTGTTGGAGACATCATGATAGCCACTGGAGAACTCAGTGTGCTGTGCTGGTGGTTGTCGACTGTGTGACAATGTCGGAATGGATTACTGACTCGTCATTTGACAGTTTGTAGAATCCACTTTCATTCCATGTGCAGATTCCTTGCAGATTGGTTGCACTATGCCATACCTTCTCATCTCTTTTGTAATCTGGGTAGCCTTGCCAGTCAGTTTCAAACGTGATGTGAACATTCCATGTCCCAATCTTTAGTTTTGCCTTAAGTGAGCGAGAGGATGTAGAACGGCCAACTTGCTTTTGGAAGTGTTTGGCCACTAGGCGTGATTTCGTCTCTCTGATTCTAGTGAGGAATAAGTTTGTTTTTATTTTATACTTTCTTTGTGCTTTGAAGTTTCTTTAGGAATTAAATTCGTTTTCCGGGATAAGGTTGCTAGCCCTATGTCCTACCTTTGCTTTTCTTGCGGGATTCGGACCGGCTAGTAAGTAGTGAACTAATTAAGTAGGTGTATTTTTATAGTTACATTTGAGGAGATCTAGTGGAATACAAAGTTATTTGCTAAAATATCTTGTTTGTTTGTTACTAACTACTGGAAATGAAGTAGCCTACTGCCTAATTTTATCAAAGAAAGCAGATCGTATTGGTGTAGATCTAGGGTGAGTTTATGAGCTACATACGTTAGAGATATCTTGGTCAATCCAGATACTCTAAAGTAGTTGAGATGTCAAAAGATAAAAGTCAGCTTTAGCCGAAAACAGGAATTAGTTGCTTTTAAGTTGCTTAAGATTGATCTTTGCAACTGATTTTGTTAGTATAATTTGGGAATTTGTGGGGAGTTACTGGTTTCAAGTTGGTATTCATCATGGACTGACATCAGTCGAAGGAACATTGTAAACCTGGAAGCACTGAATAGGTGTTTTGGCCTAGTATTGGACTCCCAGGACCTTCAGATCCCCTAACCAGTACCAGATTCTGACGCAGTCGCTCAATGGTAACGTGCTGGCCACGAAACCTGGGATTGATTGACTTTGTTATGGACCAAGGTAAACAAAGTAGATGTGTTAAAAAGAAATATTCACATCCACTTTGTTTACCATGGCCCCGTAGTAGGGTCGATACGTTCTTTATTGACTTTCCTTCCACAAATTGCACATTTTTACCTCCGAACCCTTTCTTCTATATTGTGATTACATTGATAAACATTCATTTTCTTATGTTATTAGTGTAGCGCCCTTCTTTATTTATACCACAATCTGTAGTCATTTTCAACCACGATGTTATGTTTCACACTTGTTATTCTCTGTTTCGTTGTAGTATTCACATGATTTTCATCCCACCTGAATATAACTCATCACCACATAATTATTATTTGACCCTTAGTAAACAAACAAACACACACATACATTCATAAATGTATATAAATGAATCATTATCTTTTTTGAGGGAGTTGTGGAGATTTGGGAGCACTGGACTCCTCAGCAGTGTGCACCCGCGACCCCGCCCCCTATGAATCGAATCCGTGACCTTCAGGTTCCTTTACCAGCACATTACCATTGAGCCACTGGGTCAGAATCCAATGCTCCATATTTCCAACTTCTGTTAGCTCACGATATATGGACCATGGGATTCTGATCCAGTGGCTCAATGGTAACGTGCTGGCCACGGAACCTGAAGGTCACGGGTTCGATCCCTGGCAGGGTCGTGGGTGAGCACTGCTGAGGCGTCCCATACTAGGACGAACAGCTGTCCAGTGCCTCCAGGTTTCCTTTGTTCCTCCAAGTGATGTCAGTCTACGATGAATAACAACTTGGAATCATTATCTGTAGGCTTTATCTCCTTATTTCGTTATTCCATTTTAGTCTGTTTATTAGAAATATCACACAGTGAAACAGTAGCATTTACTGGATGACGTTTCGGACACAATTCATTGTCCATATTTATATCAGGTAACTCCACAACTTTGAGATAGACCTTATATATTCATAATTTTCTCTCCTTCTCTGTGATGACAAGGGTAGTAGAATTTTCCATATATCGGGGACAGGTGCAGAATCATTCTTGTTACTGCATGTATTTGATTTTGATTCGATAAACAAAGATCCGCTTATTGTTCTCCCCCTCCCTCCAACCAACTAATTTAGTTTTCAACATTGTCGCCCTAACCCACCCTACTGTATGATTGTGTGTCATAGCATGCAGAACTATAGCCGAGCTTTTCTGTACATTTCTTATCTTATTAGGATCTACAAATGTTAATTTAGCTAAGTTTTTGTGCTTTGTTATTCTGATCGACCCTGGTCAACTGCTTTGATCTGCTTTGACACAATAAATTGTGTCCAAAACGTTATCCAGTAAATGTTACTGTTTCACTGTGTGATATAAACAGACTAAAATGGAATTACAATCGACCACAGTGCCCATGTTTTACTCTTATATTATTTCGTTACTGTTCTGTCAATATTGATTTTGTTGCACAACTAACACACTAGACTGATAATATTTCCACCATTCCATTCGATTTGATCTCCTTTCCCCCATAACACTTCACTGTTTCAATATAACAAAAATTGTACATCATACATTATGTGGGTTATTGTATTTCAGTTGCAGGAATTAAGAAAACCTGGAGGCACTGGACAGCTGTTTCGTTCTAGTATGGGATGCCTCAGCAGTGTGCACTCATGACCCCACCAGGGATCCAACCCAGCGACCTTCAGGTTCCGTAGCCAGCACGTTACCACTGAGCCACTGGATCAGAATCCAATGGTCCAATGGTTTCAGTGCACGAAACAGTTGTCCAGTACTTCCAGGTCTCCTTTATTCTTCCAACTGATGTCAGTCTACGATCAATAACAACTTGAAATATTTCCTAATGCCCACAACTCCCTTAAAATTCTTTTTCATAATTCTGAAAAAATATCTGGAAAAGAGACTAAAACTCAGTCTTTCTTCTTCATTTATTTATATTATAAGAATTTAGGAAGTGAATTCACCTTAAAAATATCCTATATGGAGATTTACAATGAGGTTGGTTATGATTTACTAGATTCACGACATAATATCACATCGAAACTGGAAGATTTACCGTAAGTTTAGTCGTAAATTATACAACTTTGTTATTTTAACGCTTAAATTAATGTTTCGCTTATACCATGAATATATTTTCAGTGAACATCTACATACATATATTGCTTATCCTGCATTCTACAAATATTGATTTTTAAGGTTATTAATATCATCCTAGGTGATAATCTTTTCCTGCCTTTCACCACTTATATTTATGATAAGATCTTGTGCATTTTCTATCTCGATAGATAAACATGAATAACTTTAACTACAAAATGAACTAACACAGCTTTAAACAGAAATAACAATAGTACTATCAGTAATATCAGTACTATCAAAGAGCAGAGGTAATATCGAGGCATATGCCAATAGACACGGATCAATTCGGTCCAATCAACGATGGTATGATATAAAACTATACCCGTCGCACAAGAAGTGGCTATCATAGCTCGGTGGTGTAGTGCATAACGCTCTCGCGTTTGTAGCGATCGCTCTCGAGTCTGAATCCCTGTGGGAACAACATCACTCACTGGGAAGCAGGTACATCCAGCTAATAAGTCCCAAATAGGACGAAATGTGCATCCTGGATTTCACTGTCAGCCACTATTCATCAGTACTACCATAAGAGCACAAGTCATATCCAAGTATCCCATATGCCAATAGAGACCGATCAATTCAGTCCAATCAACGACAGTATGATATAAAAAACAATTATACTAGAAATAACAATATCTAAAAAACAAACGAGAAATTAATGAGTTAAGAGTTTTTATTAGTTTACATGATGATTCATTGACTAGGCAGATAAGTTCATTTAGACTTATTGTGGGGATTGATTGATTGACTGATATGAATTCCGTATAATGACCAAAATAAATTATCCTGGTCCAAATGGAGTGTATAGTCCAGAATAAGTTTCAACTCAACCATATAAATATGACCACATCATTTCTGTATGGTGTACTTAGCTTCCTTGAGTTATGCATAGCTAAAATATACCCCAAGAATAATAGAACACAAATGATGTGGTTATATTAACCGTATTTAAACAATATACAACAAAAAGGTACCTTAACAATACCATCTTGGTACTATATAGTCAATAATAAATTTGTTAATACAAAAGTTTTAACCTATATGACAAAATAGATCAATTAGTGATGATGATTACATACAACAAATTAAATATATTCCAAACAAAAGGGACCCAAATATCCATCTACAGAAGTCAGGTCAAATCAAAACCAAAACAATAACAACTTCTTATACAACCTTTAGCAGAATAAAACAGCAACAAGTGACAGTTGTATAGACTATAATACAAAAGACGAAGGCAAATATGGTTTTTGAGGGAGTTGTGGGGATTTGGAAATATTTCAAGTTGTTATTCATCGTAGACTGACATCACTTGGAGGAACAAAGGAAACCTCGGAGCACTGGACAAATGTTCTGTCCGACTAGTATGGGACTTCTCAGCAGTATGCATCCACAACACCACCAGGGTCGAACCCGCGATCTTCAGGTTCCGTGGCCAGCACATTACCATTGAGCCACTGGGTCAGAATCCAATGCTCCATATTCCCAACTTCTGTTAGCTCATGACATAGCACAACCGCCACCTAATGTCATAGTTGAGTAACTGTCCTCACGACCATCAGGCTTTGCTCCCACCGGTCACGACTTCTCCCTCAAAAATTCAGTTGAACTGGTGCTTATTGGTGACTAGCTTTGAGAAGTATTCCTGAAGTTTCGGCGAGAAGTCGTGACCGGTGGGAGCAAAGCCTGATGGTTGTGAGGATAGTTACTCAACGATGACATTGGGTGGTGGTTGCACTATATCGTGAGCTGACAGAAGTTGGAAACAGAGGCATTAGATTCTGATCCAGTGGCTCAACGGCAACGTGCTGGTCACGGAACCTGAAGGTCACGAGTTCGACCCCTGGTGGGGTCGTGGGTGCACACTTCTGAGGAGTCCCATACTAATCGGATGGAACAGTTGTCCAGTGCTCCGAGGTTTCCTTTGTTCCTCCAAGTGATGTCAGTCTACGATAAACAACAACTTGAAATATAGTTTTACCAAAATGGGTTAACTGATATAAGTACTCCTGTGAGTTTGAGCATTCCCCGAGAGTAATAAAACATGCTCAGAAACATAAACAAAAATACATCAATAAGGTTAAATATAACTACAAGGGTGCTGCAGGAGAAATTTTCCTCTTAGGATTATACTGTATTACAAGGCTGCAGTTTTACTTTTGAATTGTTGACTGATTTGAAGTTGAGAAAAGGAAACCCAGTAAATAAATGATAATGTGCTCCTCATGCTATGTGATGGTCTTCAGCTTCATCCTTCTTATGGTCGTAACTGTGCACAAGAGGAGAGTCTCACACTACAGCGAAACAGCTATCCACTGCTTTGAGGTTTTCAATGATTCTTTAACTGTCATCATTCTTTAGATAGAAACTACTTCAAGTTAAGTTCACTATGTGTTCCATAAATGCTGATAATTTCACATTGTTTGATGAAGTTAGTACTGGGAAATGGCAAACTAGATGAAAGTTGACCAAGAGTACAATTCCAGATATGGTGATAAGATTCAATCTCTTTGCAATCTATGCGTAATCAACAAATGAATGCGCTATTATATCCATTAGCAAGGATAATAATAATTACTTTTATTCCAGATAGTAATTTTTAATATAGTATGGAACTCAGTGTGATATTTCGACAAATCTACTTCCTGTACAGTATTTTTAAACTAAATGACCATCACAATTAAGTAATGTTAATAATAACACTATGCTAATCGATAATACGCAATGACCTGTTGTTTTCAGGTTATTTTCCAGTTCGTAATGATGAGTAGTGGGTAGCAGTGGAATTTAGGATGCACATTTCGTCCTATTTGGGACTCATCAGTTGGGTGTACCTACTTCCCAGTGAGTGATGTTGTTCCCACAGGGATTCGGACTTGGGAGTCATCGCTTCAAACGCGACAGCGTTATGCACTACACCACTGAGCTACGATAGCCACTTCTTGTGCGACGGGTATAGTTTTAGTGTTGTTGCTTGAATCCCGGTGGGAACAACATCACTCACTGGGAGGCAGGTATATCAAGCTGACGAGTCCCAATTAGGACGAAGTAGGCATCCTGGATCCCACTGCTAGCCACTACCCATCATTACTATACATAATTAATACATAGGTAATATCTAGGCATCCGCACAGGATCCCGTATACCATCAGAGACTGATCAATTCGACCTAATCAACGATGGTGTAACACAAGCAATAAGACTATTTTCCAGTTCGTTGCGTAGGGAAATGAATAGAATAGAATGGATAGCATTGGTAATGAAGGATTATTCAGCCAGTATAAAAATTTTGCAGTTCCTGCTAACCGTTCTTGTAATAGTTATGTGATGAACTGTTGTGCTGTCAAGAACCCACTGCCATCTACACTGATACATTTTTGTAATGTTGTAGAGACATTTCAAGCGTGCGCGAAGGTACGTTTTATAATTTGTTGTCATTCAAATGATTAAAACAAGTAAAAATAAAAGGGGTAAATTGATGTAGTATATAAGATGGGAACTTTTTAGTAACTCACAATTTTAAGCAGGCCATCAGAGAATGATAGACAACTGATGAAGGAAATTTCTTCATTACCTGTCTTAAATTAACCGGAAATGTAAATTTTCATTCTAGTCGTAAAATTGTCAGTTAAATAAACAGCTTGATATACACTAAGGTAGAATTAACTCCGATAGCATTTGAAAAAGATTTATTTTACTTGGTCGTGAATATGTAACGATTATATAGAGAAACAGTAATTACCTACAGAAACGACAAGCATCTTGGATGATAGGTTAAAACCAAGCCAAACGAAGTAAAGAAAGTTTGTATATCATAAAGATTTAACCGAAACCCTGATTTCACTATATATCAAGCTGATAATTTTTCTTCACTACTACTGTCAACACTTAAGTACTCAGGGTTGTTACTTGGTCCCTTCTGAGATTGACAATCAGTTTAAAGCAATATTCATCACCCCTTTTTTGATTCATTCTATTCACCACTTCAGTAATATCAAACAATCAAACTTCATTCCTAACTAACACTAAGGAAAAACACTAGATCTACACACTGTTGAGTCTACCTTTATGGACTGACTCATTTTTGACTAGTATGTTGATATTCTGAAGAGATTAGATACATATTTCATTGAAAATAATGTCAAAATGAAGTCGAAATGCTCTCAGTAACTTTGTGCACATTTATGCACTAGTAAACAAGCCGTACGTATCATGTAAGGGCTAATAACACTACCTGACTGCCTAAACATTAGTTGGTAGAGCAACGATCAAACTAATGACCGAGTGGTTGAAAGCCAACTACCTAAGCCAATGAGTTTCAGTTCCACAGTGTAGTCTCATTTATACTGATAGAGATGTTTTTTGAAGAGGTCTAATATAATAAATGATTATCTGACAGATTGACTATTTCAGTAAGTAGCATTAGGAAACTTAAACTTGATTGTGAACAAAATTTCAAATAAACTTGGAGGTGGCTAACTTCCAGTTTTGTGTTGGTTTCAAAAACCTGAATAATTCACTGCAAAAGAGTTATTTCTAAGTTTAGTCCTCTTCTGATGTAGTTTGCAAGGGTCGGAATTGTGACAAATGGTAGGTGATTGCAACAAAGTGAGTTTGCATACTAAATTAGGCTTATCTCTCTTATGCTATCTTACTGTTGTTGTGGTTATGATTGTCTTCACCATCCCAATACGTTTCAATGCATTTGAAAGTAGAATACCTCATCACTCCGTCCCCTCCGTCCCTTGTTGACAAGTCTTCACTTGAGAACAATATCCATCTTCTTGAGTGGCTTTAAAGTCCACCCTAGCAACAACTGGAATAATCAATCAGACTACTCTATTTCATGAAAATCTACCTTTCCGGCTGAAGTGACGAAACCTAATTGCTTGTTTCGATTGTTGCTAGGGTGGCCTTTAAAACCAGCCATTTTCCTTGTAGGTAGGAAATTATTCCCAAAAAGTCATTAAATTATCGGAGTAATCAAGTGCTGTAACTGGGTACAGAATAATTCTTTCTCTACTTAGATAAGGAAAGGGTTCTGGAAAATAAACGTGCTTACTGAAGCCTGACAATAGCTGTATTTCTTGATCTGAAGGCGTCATTCGACTCCATTGATAGAGAAGTCTTATGACACTGTCTCTCACTGAAAGGCGTGCCGAGTAATACATCACTTTATTGAAGGCTGTCTACTAGATCACTTGTGGGCGCGTTAGAGCCTATGGTGAGATATCCAGTTAGCTATGCTCATCGAGTGGTGTACGTCAAGGGTGCCCACTCTCTCCATTCTTATTCAATTTTGTCATAGTTATTCTCATGGAGGTCTCCCTGTCGTCACCTGATTACACAGACGTTGACCTACTCACAGGAGAATTTTCGTTAGACCTAGAATATGCAGATGACATAGTCTAGTCATGTCAGGTGAAAACGCTGACTGATGAGATACAGAGTCTTGTGAAAACTTTGAGTGGGAATTTGAGAATGTTTGGGATGCGGTCTTCACCACCGAAATGCGAATTGTTGCTCCAGGATTGGTCTTCAGCAGTGCCCAAGCACGGCTAACAGTAGAGAGTGTAGAGGTTGAGTGTGCCGACCACTTCACTTACCTGGGAAGTAGGATCAGCTCTGGTGGCTGGCTCAGTGGCCGATGAAATCTCTGCACGCATACAAAAGGCTCGACTTGCTTTTGCCACCTTACGCTACCTATTGCGCCGCCGTGATATCTGATTGTCTATTAAGGGTCACGTTTACTGCACAGCAGTTCGGTCTGTTCTACTATATGGTTGTGAAACATGGTCACTGAAGGTGGAAGACATGAGAAGACTTCAACTGTTTGACCACCGCTGCCTTCATAGTATAGGCCACCGTATTCCGTGGTGTCATAATGTGAGTAACGCAGATGTCAGGTATGGGGTTTTAGGGAGTAGAGGTAAATCAGTTGACTAGGTTATGAACCTTGATCGACTGAGATGGTTGAGACACGCACTACGTATGCCTAGTCACCGATTGCCTCGTCACACAATGTTGGCCGAGGTAGGTTCAGACTGGAAAGCCTGAGCTGACCAGACTAAGACATGACAGCAATGTATGAATTCTCTGCCTGTTGGTTTGAGCCATGTGGGGTGATGCAGACTAGGTGGTTGGGGCCCGCAGAACAAGAGGAACCAGTGGTTAGAGACTACAAGGGATATGGCTCAGAACCGACGCCAGTGTTGCAGATATATACACACATTATCCTCATCTTAACGCTATGACGAATCTCCCCATTTTGTCATTCTTCCTTTCTCTCTTTGAGTACTTTATATTTCTTTTGACTGGATTTTCTTATCTTCATCTTTCACCTCACTGCAATTTTACTTGATGTAGTGATATGAAGTGTGAAAACTCGGACCTTTGCGCAATAATGTCTGGTTCTATGTTGATAATGATAATGATGATGATAGATATGGAAAGAGTATCGGCATTCATATATCTACTCAAGTCTTACTCATGGTATGCAACAACTAAAGGTTTAAGTAGTTCGGTAACTTATTTGGGTGATTTCATTCTTGAAGCTTTACACCTCATAATGAAGTGCGATTCTCTTTCATCAAATTGTATCGGCCTCTTTGGTTTTACTATTTCTCCTTTGAACCGTTTAGTAATAAATAAGTTATGAGAAATCAGTGGGATACATAAGAAATTCAGTCATTAAGTAGCTTGTGACCATTAACTAAACAATGTTAACACCCAAATACAGTATGCGTTTAACTCTTTTGCAATGCTGAAGTTGTAAGTGTTCACACTCAGAGAGTTTAAAGCTTTGTTTACAAAAGAGACTTATCGACCTTCGTATTTCATTGTCATAATCCTGAATGTTTTGAACAACTTCTACGCTAGCAAGTTATTACATCACCCTAAATTAAGCCTGTAGCCATGTTCTTTCGACAGTAACTCGTTCGTCACCAAGACATATCTGCAACCAGGGTGGGATAGATGTCCCCTCTTAAATTCAAACCTGCGTCACCCAGTATTGCTGACAGTAGGGTTATCAGTAAAACATTCGGGCTGCGATCGACCTCCTGTGGGGTTAGATTAGATACCTTGATCAGTCAGCGAAGAGTAATCTATTTCATACTGTCTAGTAATGAGTGCTGACCGAACCCTATCGATAATTTTGGGCTATAACCACCAGGTTAGGTTGCTGACCGTTACCACCACGTACGGTTCTTAGAAATTTTTAGCATTTGTTACGCTTTCCTCTTAGCAAAACATTTTGTGAATATCTAACACTTGGAACATTTCCACAAAAGAAAATTCCATACAATTGCATTTTTACGACTTTGACATTAAAATCAATCTAAAATACATTTTGCCAGGTCATTACTATTTGTCCTTTGGGTTCCTAGTGGAACATAGAGATTCAGTAGCATGTCTCCATCCAACTCTCTTCCCTTCAATCTTCTGAACCTAGCTCCATGAAAGCCCACAAGCTCTCATTTCCTCCTCTCACGATCTCCTCCATGTCACACTCACCTCAGACACCCAACTCGTCGTTTCCCATCTGGGTTGCAGTCGAGTGACTGGCCTGGTGCGTGATGTCCCTAGTCGGCCTCCTCGGTGTATGCCCACTCCAATCCATCTCCACTTCCTTCTGCTGCACATTTGTTGAGTGATAGGTTCTTGGTTGGTTGGTTACCAGCCAGTCAGAGCTGCTTGTTGCTCATTCTCATTATTCTGGCCATCTGATCTGATCTTCAGTATTGAGTGAGCGTAGGCGGCAGTTGTTGATGATGAGTGTTTGTAGTTTGTTGGAAATACTTTTCGTAACTTGTCGTTGGTGTTAAAAATCCGGATGTTGTTCCACATGCTGAGTTCAGTGCAGAGGATCTGCACACTGGTTTCAGATTAATGAACACCCGTCTTGCTATGTTTTCAATCCTGACTTTTACGTCCTCGTTTGTGCCTGTGGCGCCGCCTGTAGTTGAAACAGTGTTGCCTAGGTGGTGGGTGAATGAGACTACTTCCTTCAAGTCTCTCCCGTTGATGGTGATAGGAGCTTGTTGTTGTTGTGGTTGGTGGTGGCGTTGGTTGGGTATCTTCATCACCTCTGTCTCCTCTACATTCACTTGAAGTCCCGTTTTCGCTGCACTGCCTCTTCTGTCAACTTGTTAGTTTTCACGTGTAGATCTTCACGTTTGTGCGACATCAGACGCAAATCATCGGCGAAATCCAAATCTTCTTGTGGGGTCTTTTCACCGGTCCAGTCAGTGTATGCCCATCTTCTCGCTCCTCATGGTATGCTGCATGGTCCAGGGGACCACAATGAGGAAGATGATGGGTGATAGTAGGCAGCCTTGTCTTACCTGTTAACCTGTCTTCACTTCAAAGGCATCACTGAGCTGATTTTTCCATTGTGGATCACTTGGCTTGTGGCTTCTTCATATAACTGTTGAATGAGATTGATGAAGGTTTATGGCACTAAAACCGTAGTGTTGAAGCAGTTTCCAAATTACTTCTTCTTTGCCAGATTACTTGTCTTTTTTTTTTCCTGGCGATTCTTGATACATTTAGCTGGAAATTGTCCATTCTTTCTGTAAATTAAAATAGTAATCTTTATATAATAACTGCTATCATTTATTCTAGTTTTTCACTCTCAAATGTATTACTATCCATCTTTATACAGAAGAGTAACGCTCTTTGAACACACAGAAGCTGGAACAGTACACTTGAAAAATTTATCGATTCATTCAGCTTCGAATACTGATGAAGCATTGAATTTATTATTTATGGGTGATACAAATCGAATTATTGCAGAGGTAAGCTGATGACAACACCGTCTACTGTTGATGTATGCTGTAATGCTTGATTGAGGAAATAAAAGTTTTACCTGTAAACTAATAAACATACTGAATCAATATGATTGTATATTTGTAGTCACATGATATTCGAATTTTGGCGGTTTTTTTTTTACCTTGAGACCATTTCATTTGAACAAACTTCTAGAGATCAAGAGTTTCTCCTTGCTAACATGAAACACTTTGGCAATATACAAGTTTCCCCTTCTCAGATTGAACGCAAAACATACAAAAGGCTAACATGATACTGACAAATCCAGTTCATTTAATTTCAGTATAATTGGTAGTATTCTCGAAAAATTTCTTTAATCTAGCGTTACTTTACGAAGACAATTATTTCCAAAATAGTCAAGCTATTGAGGTCTCCAGAAATAAAATTTCTTAAAACTCTCCACCTCAAAATACTAGATTCCAACCATCTACTGGTATATATATATATATATATATATATATATATATATATATATATATATATGAGTGGACTCGTGAACAGTAGCCTTAGAATTCACCCTGAAGGCGCAAAAGCGATAAAGGTTTATTGTCTAGTCTAAATCAAGAAGATCTAAAGGTAGTCGATTTGTCAGGTACAGTTTTCTACCAGATGTCACGCTGCCATGCCCAACAGTACAGTGAACTTCACCAATAATATGTGGCTGAGTATCTGATACACTACAAGCGACCTGAGTAGTTAGGTGAGTTTTCGGTTGATATATTCGCTGCCATGTTTTTCTTCTGATATGTTGTGTTTGAAGCTGTATCAAGTTGTAAACGAACCTACTGTCCGTTGATTTTTATGTAAGCATATTTTCTTCGCGATGCTGATCTGTTTCTTTTTAGTGTTATAACTGCATTCTGTTTAGAGCTTTTATGCTGATGCCTTTTCGAGTACAGCTGTGATTGACATCAGCATTCAACTTCGCAATATTCCTTTGTATGACCTCGTCGAGAACACTTAATGGATCGGTTATTTCTAAACGGGCGAAATTTCACAACGTACCAACATGCTGATAGTGGTTTCAACCTACTGTTATTACTTTTTACGTGACCGGTAGCTATACACTCTTTCCGGCTGACTTTTAATATTCGCCGTGTGATTTGCGCTTTCAAGCATTGCTGAGTCATGCTTCAAGTTTGTCAGTCTCTGGCACTCATTTATGATTTCCTGGAGTGTTACATTTGGACATTTTCCCATCCTAGATAAAACACTGGCACTTACGTCAGCATTTGCCTGAAACTTTAAACTGTAGACGAAAACAAGACATTTAAATTGGCTTCCTGTCATCAATGAAAGTTTAAAACTCTCACACCCCTAATTGACAATGTACGCATGTTTGATCCGGTCGTCGCTTGAATCGTTTATAATATTCAAACACTGGTGTCTAATTCGAAAGAGAGATAATTGCTCTCCAGATATCTATGACAGGATTCTGACCGTTTCATTATGAGTAAAATCTTTAGATTTCCTTGGCAGTATAAAATCTACGTAGCGATCGTGTTCTACAGTGCCCAAGCCTCTTAAAAGAATGTATACTTTTGTTGTATCATTGAAGAATTAAAGGTCAACAAGAAACAGATCTTCATACTTACTGAACAATGATTCAAATGTAATGCCTGGTAACAAATCGAAATATAAGTCTTGCGTTGAAGAAATAAGAGCTTCCATGTGTGAGATAATTCAAGTTGCAAGGATATCGATGAGTATAGCTTTTCAATAAGTGCCTTAGTGATTCTCATAGTTGTCTGCCCACTTCTTTTATCTTGTTACTCCATCAATAATCAGATTTAATCGAAAGGAATGCTTGCCATAATCCCCATCACCAGTTTTGAATCTTTACAGTAACTTGATATACCCTGAGTTATATAGACGTACGGACACTTGGACAATAACCTTCAAATTCCGCTCTTAATTGTCACTCACTTCCTCCATGATAGAAAAAAGCAGTAATATAACAGAAGGTGTATTTACAACGTCAGTAATTTATATAAAATACAAGGTTTTATATATATTACAATGGCTTTGGCTATTTCAAGGCCTTTCTAGATTAATATCCTATTGACATTTTCATCTCTCCAACCAACCTGATGCTTAAACAGTTTACGTGTTTTTTTCCTGAAACTTCGAGGCAAAATGATTGGTCGGAAATGACTTCAGGCATATACAGCTTCTTATGAAGATTTTGGTAATCTTTCTGCACATTATGACACCTCCCTTCTGGAGTAAAGATTGGTAATACAATGATATATCTTTTGACAATTAACGTTTCATTGGATCGTGTCAGACTATTCCTTAATACTCTTCTGCTTAATCTATGATGTAATACAATCTGAAGTAAGCAAGTGAATTTGAGCTGAAAATGCGGGAAATGATTCGCTTATACTTTGAAAAAGGGTATTTCATGAACTTTCTTCTATCCGCTTGAAAAAATAGTCTGATAAATATTTGTAAAAACACTTCGTATAGCTTTGAATGTGGAATTCCACTATCGTAAGGTACTGGATTTGCAAAAATGCATTAAGTTCATCCCAACCAGTTCTGTGAATTTATGCGTTGCCATGAGACTTTTAACAGTGAAATGGTTACATAAATTTTCCAACGTTAATAAAACAAAGTCACTTAGGCTCTTTTGAGCAGACAGTGCTATCATACTGTTTTGATTCTGTTTGCCAACAAGCCTCAGGTTTTTAAATGACATCATGATATCTTGTGTCCACTTTGAGCCAGAGTAATCTAGGTGTAGTTGGTCGGAATGGAAAGGTACTCTGCTATGCGATGAACCACCATGGTCAACACTACAGTATACTACCCTGATGACTTACTTCTAACCGCCTGATGTACTGTGAGTGATCTGTTGTCTGCTAGTTAGTGGGTGTGATTTCTGAAGTGTAGCTGGCTTGCAGATGACATTGGTGCCTATTTTCTCCTATTATTATAAGTCCCTTGGGTTCCTAGTGGAACATAGAGATTCAGTAGCATGTCTCCATCCAACTCTCTTCCCTTCAATCTTCTGAACCTAGCTCCATGAAAGCCCACAAGCTCTCATTTCCTCCTCTCACGATCTCCTCCATGTCACACTCACCTCAGACACCCAACTCGTCGTTTCCCATCTGGGTTGCAGTCGAGTGACTGGCCTGGTGCGTGATGTCCCTAGTCGGCCTCCTCGGTGTATGCCCACTCCAATCCATCTCCACTTCCTTCTGCTGCACATTTGTTGAGTGATAGGTTCTTGGTTGGTTGGTTACCAGCCAGTCAGAGCTGCTTGTTGCTCATTCTCATTATTCTGGCCATCTGATCTGATCTTCAGTATTGAGTGAGCGTAGGCGGCAGTTGTTGATGATGAGTGTTTGTAGTTTGTTGGAAATGCCTTTCGTGACACGCCAAGTCTCTCAACCATCACATGAAAGCACTGACTTGACTAGGTTGGTGTTGAAAATCCGGATGTTGTTCCACATGCTGAGTTCAGTGCAAACGATCTCCACAGTGGTTTCAGATTAATGAACACTTGTCTTGCTATGTTTTCAATCCTGACTTTGACGTCCTCGTTTGTGCCTGTGCCACCGCCTGTAGTTGAAACAGTGCTGTCCAGATAGGTGAATGAGACTACTTCCTTCATGTCTCTTCCGTTGATGGTGATTGGAGCTTGTTGTTGTTGGTGGTGGTGGTGGTGGCGTTGGTTGGGTATCTTCATCACCTCTGTCTTCTCTATATTCACCAGAAGGAGGTTCCATCTTCACTCCCATACTACTGCTGTCAACTTGTGTGTTTTCACCTGTAGATCTTCACGTTTGTGCTACAAGACATCAGACACAAATCATCAGTGAAATCCAAATCTCCTTCTGGGGTCTTTTCATCGGTCCAGTCAGTGTATGCCCCTCTTCTCGCTCCTCACGGTTTGCTGCATGATCCAGGGGACCACAATCACGAAGATGATGGGTGATAGTAGGCAGCCTTGTCTTACCTGTTAACCTGTCTTCATTTCGAAGGCATCACTGAGCTCAGCTTTCCATTGTGGATCACTTGGCTTTGGGCTTCTTCATATAGCTGTTGAATGAGATTGATGAAGGTTTGTGTCACTGAAACCGTAGTGTTGAAGCTGCTGCCTTCCTAATCACTTGTCGGTCGACACTGTCGAAATCCTTTTCAACGTCGATGAAGTTGAGGTTGAGTTCAGTTGACTGCCACTGTATACTCTGTTCTATGATGGTGCGTAGCGTAGCGTTGCAACTTGATCCCCATATGATTTGTACTTCTTGAATCCAGTGACACTGTTCCGTTCGTAGTTTTGAATGCAGCGCATCGTTTAGTGTCTCCGGGATGATGCGGCTTAATACTTTGCTTCCTTCAGGTGGACAGGAGTATATTTCCTCGCCAGTTGTTGCAATGACATTTTCTTTTATGGACATTTTTTTTGATGTATGATACGAAGCAATTATCTCGTTTGATGTTTATGCAGAGGCTTCGAACTCCCATGAGTATCTGTATAATTGTTAACTTTGATGGTTAGACTTGCACTGTTACTCCTTGATAAGTTCTTGGAGACGCTCACCGTGGAGTATAATTATAGAAATACTGGATGGCATCAAACATGGCACATCATTTTGCAGACCTTCTGCAGGTACTTCATGGTTTTCTTTAACATAAATTGATCCAACGTCCGCATCGTTTGTTATTTCGAGGTCAGTAGTGAAGGGGTTACTATTGTCCTCATCTGTCATTTTAACATGAACAATATTATCAGGCTCCTTAAACTCATTTTTATCTTCGCGATGTCCACCAATGAAGTATTTACTGAGTGTGATTTTTAAAAATATGAGGACTTATGTGTATAGATTCTGGTTGGATCTCAACTGAAAATCTCCCCCAACTACTCGGGTCGCATGCAGTGCATCAGTATGCTAATTTGAACACTAAAATTAATTGATCTGGGTTACCGACGTGACAGTTGTGGTATGACAGACTGGTA